TTGGACCAATCCACTGGGGTCATGCTCGATCACGTGATCTAATCCACTGGGAAACGTTGCCCATTGCATTGAAACCGTATGAAAAGGGGGTTATATACAGTGGATGTTGTATAAATGACGAAAATAACGTAACTGGTATTAGGCCCAATGTGCTAAATAATCCAAACGCATCATCAACGACGCTCATTGCACTTTATACACTGACCAAGGATGAGGACCAAAGTCAAGCGTTGGCATACTCATTTGATAATGGTACGACATGGACACAATACGATGCAAATCCGGTGATTCCGAATCCGGGCATTAGTGATTTTCGTGATCCAAATGTTTTCGAACGTAACGGAAAATTCTATATGACATTGGCCGTACGTGATCGCATTTCGTTTTACGTTAGCACCGATTTGCTGTCATGGGAAAAGCTCACAGATTTCGGTGTATCGCCGGATGAAGGTGACAAAAACGGTGTATGGGAATGTCCAACATTATTCACACTAACCGATGAAGGGGGCAAACCACACGATATTTTGATTGTTTCGCTGAATGGTGATTTAGAAGGCAGTAAATCACAGTACTTTATCGGTCAGTTCAATGGAAGCAGATTCAATACGTACGATAAGTCGAGAATACTATGGATTGACAATGGTTTCGACAATTATGCGGCCATACCATATCACAATGATCCAGATGGTCGGATCGTATTGATTGGTTGGCTATCAAATTGGCTGTACGCACAAGACATACCGACATCGACATGGCGTGGTCAAATGACCATTCCACGTGAAATGGGACTTCGAACAATTGATGACGATCTCCATATCGTTCAGCGCCCCGTGGTCGAATTGAATGGCATCATTGATCCAGCCAGAAATTGGTCAACATCAGAACCACTCACTTTGACTGGAAGCCAAACTATTGAAGTAACATCCGAAATTCCATTCAAAACCGGCTCCCAGCTAATTCTGGATTATGCGTTCGACATTGAACAAGTCAAAAATGGTCAAATTGAAGTGCGATTCAGTAATACCAAGGATGAATTTGTGTCCTTTAATTACAACATTGAGAAACGGACATACGGATTTGATCGTAGATATTCGGGTGATGTTACATTTAATCCACGATTCGCCGACCCATTGCCTCGTATCGATCGAATTAGTGGCAGCAATTTACTCAGTGGACAAATTATTCTCGATACAGCATCCATTGAAATATTCGCCGATGACGGTTTGAACACAATCAGTGCACTGTTTTTCCCATCGGAGCTGTTTGAGAAGATTCATTTACGGTCATCTATCGATGCCGGAAAATCAGTGACCGTGCCAAAGTTGAGTGTTGGAGCACTTAACAGTATTTGGCCAAAGTAATAATTATGTTGTCAATGGCTTTTTGTTTCTTTCGCCAGTTGAAATATTTGTAAATGATGAAATCGTTTGGGTTTACACTTATTTGTTATGTTAAAACTGAAATTGTAATGTGAATATTACCAAAATAAATGCATTTGCAAAATGATTATTCAAATGGGAATTTTCATTCAGTAGAAATCCTTTGGATCTATTCAAATCATTTTTTATGGTGAAAAATAAATACACAAAATCAGTCCATATTTTTTATTTATCAAATCTATGGGTGAGATTGAGAGTACTCTCTGAGTTTCATCACATGGAATGATACGTGTGACGGCATATTTTCACACGGAACTTCATTCCCAGTGCGCCGTGCACATGCTATACATAGAGCGAACGTATCCGAATATTAGAAACCACACGTTATTACATTTAGCTAGTGCTCTGCGTACTGGGAACGAATTTCCGTGTGAAAATATGCCGTCACACGTATCATTCCATGTGATGAAACTCAGAGAGTACTGTATGTTTCTTTCATGACTTATACTTTGGTAAAATACTAGACTATGTTTCACTCGTAGTTTTTTGCGATTTTAATTTTAATGCCAAATAAATATCTAACTGGTATCCTCGCCAAAGTTCTTGGTCTCGTCAAATTGTACAACTTTGCGAAAGACAATTATCGACAATAATTAATCGTATATCTATTAAAACGAATAAATTATTTCAAGATTTGCTCACCGCTTGAAAACATACTCTACTTTTTCCAATACAAAGTCTGTGAAACGTACATCACTCTCAATCCCACCCATAGAAATAATCAATGGATTATTTGAACAGCTTGAATAAATCAGAAAATATAATTAAAGATCATAATAACAGTAATAACTTAAACCTCTTTTCAACAATGTGCGTACTGAGATCATAAACAGTATAGAAGCACAAGTGCAATCAAGGGGCTTGGATCCATATAAAGTATTATTTTGAACGTACTTTATGACTGCCTTCAAAAAAAATGTAACTAGCGTAATATTCAATGGCGCTTCTGAATATATCTACTCAAAAAATTACATTTGCTTCACTGTTTGACTCAAAATTCCATTTTTATTTCATTTTTACCAATTTTATTGATTTTTTTAGTTCTTTGAAAAATAAAAATCGTAAAGCATTCGAGATTCTTGATTACTAGTTGTAGCAATTTCTTATCTAGCGTAAAAATAAACAAAATCTCTGAACACATCTATTTTCTCAAGGTTACTAAACGGGGAATTTATGCGTACATATTGTTTTATTTAGATGAATTTGACGTCAATTTAAAGAGTCTGAATAAATACCATAGCCGAATGCAAAATAAATATGTATCAATATTTTATAGGCCCTATAATTTTATAGTCTGAACAGATCCAATTGTGATAAGACTGACGTACTTTTTTTATTCTACCTACTCTGATTAAATCTGTCTCTCAATATATGGAGTGCCTTGCTTGGAGACATTTACTAGGTGGATTTAAAAGTCGGGTACTTTTTGAATGAAAACACATTTTTTCGCAAAATTTCATTTTATTTCTCAATATAGGCTCCTTTTAGCTCGATACAGCGAGCCCAACGATCTTCCAACTTTTGGATGCCTGCTAAATAGTACGATTTGTCCAATGTCCCAAAATAGCTATCTGTTTCGAACTCGACTTCTTCATTGTTGTAAAAACGCCTTCCACAAAGCCATCTTTTGAGGTTAGGGAACAGGTAGTAATCACTGGGGGCCAGGTCAGTAGAATACGGCGGGTGTGGAAGCAATTCGAGGCCCAACTCGTGCTTTTTAGCCATTGCGACCATCGATGTGTGCGACGGTGCATTATCGTCCAAAAAAAGGATTTTTCCTCTTCATATGGGGCCGTTTCGATGCGATTTCGACCACCAATCGATCCAACAATGCAGAATAATATGCGCCAGTAATCGTCCTTCCTTTTTGGAGGTAAACGATGAAGATTATTCAGTGCGCATCCCAAAACACACTGGCCATTACCTTCCCCGCCCATTGTTGCGTTTCCGGCCTCTTTGGTGGCGGTGAACCGTGTTCCGTCCATAACTTTATGAACACATTTACTACTCCACCTCAGAAAAATGCGAAAAACTAAATGTAGATAAAAATTGTTATCAATCTGAAAACAAAGAGATATTATTTTATTTAGATTAATTTGACGTTAATTTGAAGAATCTGAACAAATACCATAGCCGAATCTAAAATAAATAAGTTTTAAAAGAGTCATATAATTTTATAGTCTGATTAACATAATCCGTTCATTCATCACCTAATTGATAAAACTGACGTGTTTTTGTTTTGTTCAACTTACTTCTCAGTGTATTAATTAACTCTGTCTCTCAATATATATAGAGTCACTTGCTTGAATGTTTCCATAGCATTTTGTGCAAGTATTTCAAACGGTCCAGTTGTGTTTCATTGATTCATTTAATAATTCGTCCACGCGATTTCTGTTGTGGAATCAGAAAAAGTAAAAAAAAAAATTATGTCAAAATCCAACATCGTTCGGTTCTTATTATTGTTTAGTATTTGTTATTGCGAGTTATCAGTTAACGGACAAAGCTATAAGGAGAAACATCGTCTCCAAGTGCATTATTCAATACCGTCAGGCTGGTCAAACGATCCAAATGGATTGATTTATTTGGATGGCTATTATCAACTATACTTTCAACACTATCCATGGAGCACAAAAGTTGGACCAATCCACTGGGGTCATGCTCGATCACGTGATCTAATCCACTGGGAAACGTTGCCCATTGCATTGAAACCGTATGAAAAGGGGGTTATATACAGTGGATGTTGTATAAATGACGAAAATAACGTAACTGGTATTAGGCCCAATGTGCTAAATAATCCAAACGCATCATCAACGACGCTCATTGCACTTTATACACTGACCAAGGATGAGGACCAAAGTCAAGCGTTGGCATACTCATTTGATAATGGTACGACATGGACACAATACGATGCAAATCCGGTGATTCCGAATCCGGGCATTAGTGATTTTCGTGATCCAAATGTTTTCGAACGTAACGGAAAATTCTATATGACATTGGCCGTACGTGATCGCATTTCGTTTTACGTTAGCACCGATTTGCTGTCATGGGAAAAGCTCACAGATTTCGGTGTATCGCCGGATGAAGGTGACAAAAACGGTGTATGGGAATGTCCAACATTATTCACACTAACCGATGAAGGGGGCAAACCACACGATATTTTGATTGTTTCGCTGAATGGTGATTTAGAAGGCAGTAAATCACAGTACTTTATCGGTCAGTTCAATGGAAGCAGATTCAATACGTACGATAAGTCGAGAATACTATGGATTGACAATGGTTTCGACAATTATGCGGCCATACCATATCACAATGATCCAG